TAATAATAATAAATAATAATAATAATAATAATAATAATAATAATAATAATAATAATAATAATAATAATAATAATAATAATAATAATAATAATAATAATAATAATAATAATAATAATAAATAATAATAATAATAATAAAAAAAAAAATAATAATAATAATAATAATAATAATAATAATAATAATAATAATAATAATAATAATAATAATAATAAAATAATAATAATAATAATAATAATAATAATAATAATAATAATAATAATAATAATAATAATAATAATAATAATAAATAATAATAATAATAATAATAATAATAATAATAATAATAATAATAATAATAATAATAATAATAATAATAATAATAATAATAATAATAATAAATAATAATAATAATAATAATAATAATAAAAAAAAAAAAAAAAAAAAAAAAAAATAATAATAATAATAATAATAATAATAATAATAATAATAATAATAATAATAATAATAATAATAAATAATAATAATAATAATAATAATAATAATAATAATAATAATAATAATAATACTCACAGAGACCATACTCAACAACAAAGGATTACAATCCAACACCAAATGATTGTCAACACAAGTTGCCAACCCCAATAAGAAGGAACGAACCACACATACTAGCATATCAACATCAAACTAGCATGTTCGGGGCTTATCAAATGGGTAAACCAAATTAATTCCAAAGAACATTCAAGACTCACATTAGCCCAACGAATCACGAAGTTGGACGCTTAGCACGATTCAAGACACCAGATCCTACATGGAATCCTAACACACCGTTCTAGACATACGAAACATCAATAAGACTCACAATTAGCCCAATAAATCAACAACGGGAGGTCAAAACATCAATACCAGGAAGAAAGAATCACGGGGAACAAATCCCCGCATAATCCACAAGTGCTCCCCGCGGGTGGGGCCACGGGTAGACCCCACCCATGGGCCTGCCCGCGGGGTACAACCCACCAATCACACGTTCCCCGCAGGTGGGGCACTGGGTAGGCCACTGCCCGCGGGGTACATTCCTGTACACCAAAATCTAGTCCCTCGACTATCAAATTTCAGGGTTTTTAGAAATGGATTAGCAAAGAAAGTTTGGATTAATTCTTCAATTAATCCTTGATTAGTGTTTAGATTTACGGGGTGTCACACTCTCACCATTCTGAATGTTTAACAGCCTGTGTGTAACAATTAAGTGGGATCGGAAGGATGCATCTCATGGGTCCAAACCGTGGATTTGATCATTTTCCCACGAGGACGCCCACGTGGACGTTTGACGGGCTGGACGTCCTCAACAGGCAGCTATCGGTCCGACGAGGCAGATGGTCCGGCGACAGTAGTGGGCGGCGGTGGAGAGGAGTCCGAATCACTACCGGTGGTGATGGGTGGGACGGCCACAGGACCAATCGGCGACGAAATCGCAGTGGGATGAAGAACTGACTCAGCCCATTGACAGAATTTCTCAGGTGGAGATGGCTGCACAGTATTTTTAGTATCAAAAGGATAAACTGTTTCATCAAATCTTACATGCATGCCCACATGAATCTTGTTAATATATAAGTCCATGCATCTATACCCCCGAAAAGACTCAGGATAACCTATCAAAACACATGGGGTGGACCGGAACGAGAATTTATGACGATTATATGGTTTGAGATATGGGTAACACAAACACCCAAAGACACGAAGAAAATAATATGAGGGATTCAAATTATGCACTTTAAAGTGTGGACTGAGATTATTTAATACAACAGAAGGCATTTTGTTAATTAAATAAACTGCAGTTTCAAATGCAAAATCCCAGAACTTATATGAGAGAGAGGCACGGGCTAGAAGAGCCAGACCTATTTCAACAATGTGTCTGTGTTTTTGTTCGACACGACCATTTTGTTCATGAGTGTACGCACAGGATTGTCGATGAAGGATACCTAACTCTGTAAAGGAATGATGCAATTTTTGTATTCAACTCCTAGATTTGATTGAACGACTTTAATTTTTGTGTTAAAAAATCGTTCAACCATTGTACAAAATTTATCAAAGATGGCATACATATCAAATTTTAATTTCATGGTAAAATACCAAGTTTAACGAGTATAATCATCCACAAAAATAACAAAAAACCGATAGCCATCAATTGACAAAAGGAGAGCTGGACCCCGAATATCTGTGTATATCAAATCAAGGACACTAGAATTGGATGTCTCAACACGTGCCAATGTGAATCGAGAGGATTTACCCATTTGACATGCATTACACAAGCTAGAATTACATCAAATAGAATTATTTGACCCACTAACCGGATACGACTGAAGAATACGAAGTAAAACACGATGATGTGGATGTCCTAAACGATCATGCCACACTGACGGAGAGGTGCGAGCTGTAAGAAAAATTGAGGGAGATGGTGTTGCAATTGGGAGTTTGTAGAGACCCCCATGACTATTGCCTTTAAGTAGAATTTCCTTGGTGTTGATATCTTTCACAACAAAAAAGACGGGTGAAACTCAAAAAACACTTTATTATCTATCGCAAATTTCGGAATAGATAATAAAGAAGTAGAGACACTGGGAACATGAAGGATATTAGACAATTGGAAGGAACGAGATGGGGTATTAAAAGAAGCACGAACTACACGACTAATAGAGAGCGCCTTACCATCACCCACACGCAATGTGTCATTACCTGTGTATTCCTCAGATGTAGATAGGGCTGCAATATCTGGAGTAACATGATTGGTGGCCCCTGAATCAGGAATCCATGTCTGGGAGTCATTAGGATGCGACTCGGTATTCTGATACATCAAATTTTCTTGTGGAGGAGGATCATATCGATTGTAGCATTTGATAGCCGAGTGTCCCGTACGACCACATAGTTGACAAACAATTGCTGAACCAGCACTGTTGCCACGCCCGGGATGGCCGCCACCTCTGCCAGAATGCGTTCGGCAACCGCCTCCTCCACGCTGTGTGTCGGAATTCTGCCCTCGGCCACCTTGGTTGCCGCCGCGTCCTCCGCGGCGATGGTTACCGCTGCCACATTGTGCAAAAAACGCCGTCGGTGCACCGGTTGCACCGCCTCGAATAAACTCCTGGGCACCAAGCAAATCAGCCAACTTACCTAGGGTTACAATACCACGAACCGAGAGAGATGCGGTGAGATTTTGAAATTCCGACCGTAAACCACGAAACACATAGAGATTCATCTCGTCAAGTATGTATGTATGTATGTATATATGTATGTATGTATGTATGTATGCATGCATGCATGCATGCATGTATGTATGTATGGACATTTCAGTATTCATTTAGGTTTTTTGTTTTTGGTTTTGATTCGGTTTCGGTTTCTTCAGTATAAAAAAAAATGAAACCATTCGATTTAACATTTTAGTTAGATTTCGGTTTGGTATAAAAAAGTTTAGTTTCGGTACAGAATTCCTTCGGTTCAGTTTAGGAACCTCAATTCCCAACATACATGTCCTAGTGTTCTAGCGCAAATAAATAAATAAATATTTATTTATTTATTTATTTATATTTACTAATAATTTAGGCTTGAAAATCCATTCTGCATTTCTTAAGTTCAATCAAGCTCATTTAATGAGATTATAACATCTTTAAAAAAACTTTGGAGAACCGAGATGGACCAAGATATATTACGTTTATAATTTATTTATATAGTCTGGAAACTTTTTTGTTCAAATGCAAATTAGCCAGCAAAATCAAAAGTAACTGAAATAATAGGAAAATGAAATCACACAAATGAATAGCACATGACCATAACCCAAAAGAACAGTGTTCCACTCTCATATGTAATATTTTCACTTCGACTGTCATAAAATGGTCCTACAGATTGACTTCATACATCAATTCACAGGCTCAACAATAAAGTCACATTTCATAGACATACAACAAAAATTGAGTTCCAATTTTATTGAATGCATTAATTATGTTGAACGTCTAAATTTAACTCATGGGAAAGGCTCATATACATATGCACGTGTATAAACTTAGGAGATGGCAGCAGGTGAGGCTTGTTCGATTGCAGATTTACAAGCGAGGAAAGAGTGTTGGAGCGAACGAGCGTTATTCGTCGAAGGAATTTAGTAATTAGGGATTTGGATTTATTGATTTATTATTATTATTATTATTATTATTATTATCATTATTACAATTACTATTATTATTATTATCATTATCATTATTACAATTATTATTATTATTATTATTATTATTATTATTATTATTATATTTTTATTAAAAACAAACAAACAAACAAACGGTATTCGATCGGTTTGATTCGGGTTTTTTACCGAATCATTCGTTTTAAGCGGTTTGATCTTTTACCAAATCGTTCGGTTTACAAGAATCCATTACCATTCGGTTAGTCGGTATATTACCGAACCGAATCGATTTGAAAAAATCGAACCCAATTGCTCACACACACACATAACCGACCGATAACCGAAAATCAATAACCGCTGAATAACCAAAATCAACCGAAAATCGAATTTTTCGGTTGGTTCGATTATCGGGCGGTTAAGAAATTTTTTGTTCACCCCTACCGAGTATAAAATTAAAAGTATGGCTTCGGTAAAAATTACATTTCGATTAATGGTTAATGATTTATAAAAATGTTGGTTATAGTTTAATTCGGTCCGGTTAACCAAATAAACCAATTAGTTAACCAATATATATGTGTGTGTGCGCACACACGTACATACGTATGTTTGTATAGAGTTCAAATGAGAACATAAACCTGAAAGGTAATGATAATGATTAAAACTCTAAGTACAATAATAATATTGTTTATCACGATTAATGGTTAATGATTTATAAAAATGTTGATTATAGTTTAATTCGGTCCAGTTAATCAAATAAACCAATCAGTTAACCAATATATATGTGTGTGTGCGCACACACATACATACGTATGTTTGTATAGAGTTCAAATGAGAACATAATCCTGAAAGGTAATGATAATGATTAAAACTCTAAGTACAATAATAATATTGTTTATCAAAATGATGGGAACATTGAAGAACAACGAGAAATTCATAGACTGGAATCTGCTGAAATTCCATCCAGGTCTACTCAATTTACTTGAGGCCACAAAGCATGTTTAGTGCTCCTATATGCATGAATGTCAACAACACTATTTTATTTATTTAAAACATTCCTTAAACATAGATTTATCCAAAGTTATTCAAATTTTAAAGTTTTTCATAAGATATCCATCTTTTAAACATGACAAAACATTGAACTGGTGTGATTGATGGAGCAAGGTGGCCCGATCCCTATCACAAAATATGAACCGAGAGTTATACATACATAAACAAATATATCGTTCGTGAGCTATTAAACAAAAAATACGGAGTAAATTATCACCTTGATTTTGGCATATGTCATGTTGTTGGAGAAGGTCCTTGTATAACTACATGACAATTGAATATATGTTTATAGTTATCTAATTTTCTTATACTCTATAAATCAAAAATGTATGGTGTACTTTTATAACATACCCAACAATTTGATTGTTCACAAACCACGGCCGCCAATCATCAATGATGGAATAATTCAATGATTTTGTCCATGCTTCAGCGGAAAGTGAGGGTATAAACAAATCGCGATCTCCACTGAAATATGTAAAAACATTTATTTTTGATTAAATTAGTAAAATTCAATCCATAAAATAAATACTTAGTTGTAAATATCCTAAACATATCCAGCCTGCAAATGCTGATTATACTAGTGAGATTTCATTTTAAATTTTAATTTCTTACATGACAAGCAAAACAATCGAACCATAATAATTGAATTAATTGCATCATTTTTAAATAAGTATTAAATAAATATTCTCATTTAGAAATAATTAATAACACACTACACTACATTATTGCTCCATATGAGTCTTAAACTCCCATTTTGATGTTAGAAAATCTCTCTTAGGGTGCATTTAAAAAAGTAGTTAAAAAAATTATCCTTGGGGAAAAAATTATTGTGAAAGGTAATGATGCTTTAATTTGGTGAGAAATATACAATTAGAATTGAACCATGTGTTCCATCTCAACTAAAACCTAAGCTGATAGTTGGATGCTAAACTCATGTATGACCTTTGGCATGAGGTTGGCGCATACTCATTCTTTTAACCAACCACGGGGCTCAAACTCATGACCACCCATTTGGGAGAGCCACTTCATGCCACTAGACCACAAGGTCTCTCTCATACAATCTTAACTACTAGTATATTTTTTTTGTTTGAGTATTACTGATTCTGTTACATTGTAGTATCTGTTCAAATAACTACTAAATTTTTAAATAAGTAAATTATACTCTTTTTTTTTTTTTTTTGCGTACTTGTATATGAGAGATCTGAATCCCTTGGTGCTAAGGTTTGCATGATATGCAATGCTGTCCCTCACATTATTGTTATATGGCAAATTTGCTCGGCATTGCTCCCAATTATCAATACTTCCCTGTGTCCAAAATTGAAGGGAACATGTTTAGTTATATATAGTTTGACAGGAATTTTTCAACTTATATAGGGTAAAATCTTAAAGTGCTTTTAGAATTTGTTTTTACATAGTATTTATGTGTTATTATTGTCACATTACAAACTTTTAGTGTCATTGTTACTAAGTCACAGACTAACCACATCATCTTTGCAATAGTAAGAAATGAACACATAAGCTAAAATTTTAACATAACAATTTTAACCATTCCAATGGACTTTCTATCAACATAACCATCATATTTAAACATTTTTTAAAAATTAATATTAACATTAAATGCTGGTCATAAAAAATTAAATTAATTAAAAAAAATGCTTTCATATGGTTATTGTCCGGATTTACAATTAAACAATATTCTATATAAAATTACTTTTAATTTCCCTTATATCTTAAGTTTATATCAAGACCACTAATTTACTGTTAATATTATTTTAAACAGTTTAATGAAAATTTAGAAATAGAAAATTAACAAGTTGATAATGTGGTAGAATTTTAAAATTTTACTCCAGTAATTTATTGTGTAAGTAGAATTGAAGCATGTGCTCCATATCAACTAAAAATATAAGCTGATAGTGGATTACACATTTATGTTTATATATTATATATATGCTCAACATGTCGGCAAATTATATTATGCACCGCGCGTCTTTTTTTTTAAATGAAAATAAACAGTGTTTGTTTCCGCCGTTTCGCATCCTTTTGCAAAAAGTAACTCTGTTATTCAGTGTCATTTTGTATACAATGCAATTTCAGTTCAACACAACTACAGTTTCATTTCGATATAACTATAGTTTCATTCGATATTTATAGACTCAAATATGTGAAAATGTTATTTAATTTTATTTTATATACACTATAGTTTCATTAAAACACAACTACATGATCATTTTGATATAATTACAGCTTCATTGTACAATATATACTCAAATATGTGAAATGTTATTCAGTTTCATTTTATATACACTGCAGTTTCATTTCACTATAACTACAGTATCATTTTGATATAACTGCAGTGTCGGTTTAGATATACTATAGTGTCAGTTGTTGTTTAATACACCAAACAAGCGGACTCCGTTAACTCTAACGGCGGGCCGTTTCTTTACTTAAAGAAATGGCGCCGTTTTTTACCGCGGTGCACATGCACCGCGGTCTATAATATAACGACTGCAACATGTCCGGCCCCCTCATGTGTGTGGGCCGATTACTTTTTGATGAGCTCAGGTGACACAAAGATTCGAAATCATAACCATTGACATGAGTTGACTCTGATACCAAATTGAAGCATGTGTTCAATCTCAACTAAAAACTTAAGCTAATAGTTGAATTACGCATTTATATTTATATATTATTATATGCTCACTGGAATAGATTGACAATTCCTATCAGTAACATTTTAAAATTGTATTATTTTATAAAGCAATATAAAATGACAGAACAATATAATATGCATGATTTATTAGGTGATTATGATAATAATACTTTTATAAAGCAATATAAAATGACAGAACAATATAATATGCATGATTTATTAGGTGATTATGATAATAATACAGACCAGATATGATTGAAAAATACTTAATACTTTGAAAAAGAAAATGAATACCTTCTTAACATGAAGGGCCTCTTGAACGCTTTCAACGTTAACATACTGCGCTGCGATACTGTCACTCTAAAATATTTTATAGCTTAGTACATTGGATGTTTCGAAAATGTCATTATTTCCAATTCATAGAATAATTACAAATATTAATTTCATATTCCTCGGAAAAACAAAGATGCCAGAACTTGAAATTTGAATCCAAAAATTATTATGCTTTAAAGAAAGAAGGAAAAAAAAAAAAACAAAAACAAAAAAGCAGATTATGTTTAGAAGGTTAGATGAGTGGAACTTTAATTAGTTTAAAATAAAAATTTATTAAACTATATATATATATATATATATATATATATATATATATATATATATATATATATATATATATATATATATATATATATATATATATATATATATATATATATATATATGTGTGTGTGTTGTGTGTGTGTGTGTGTGTTTTCTACTACGTTATAAAACTGAAAACAATTAAAATAAACAGAAATAGTAAATTTTTGTGTAATTATAAAGTATGGTGTACTATATCCTCTATAAAATTTAATACTTAATATCTAAAAACATAATAAGGCTCTGTTTGGCAAACTTAGCTGAAAGCTGAAAACCTATAAGCTCGGAACTGAAAACATAATAAGGCTCTGTTTGATAAAATTAACTTTTTGATAAGCTGATAAAAGTAAAAAGACTAAAAATGACATCTTCATAAAATTTAAATTAGTTTGTTTACGTATTAAAATTTGACATTTTGTCTTTAAAAAAAATTAACATTTTGAAATAAAACTATTAGCATAATCATGATATAGATCTCATAATGAAGTAGCAATATTGTTACAAATCTCATAATCCTATATATAATAAAGCAATATGGTCTTGTGAAAATTAAATGGTAATAATCAACATTTAATTTTCACAAGACCATAATAATATTGTTATTGTGAAAATTAAATGTTGATAATCAACATTTAATTTTCACAAAATCATAATAATATTGTTAATTATAATAATAATAATAATAATAATAATTGCAATAATAATAATAATGATAATAATTTCCACGGACAGTTTCTAATATATATATATATATATATATATATATATATATATATATATATATATATATATATATATATATTTATTTATTTATTTATTTATTTATTTATTTATTTATATTTCAATTTCTACTAGCAAATTATTGTGTGAACGATGATCCACATAGTTGTATGGATCATGAATATCAAATACATTTTTAATATATTAAAAATACATTATTTTTATATTGAAAGTACCTTACATACATATATAATGTACCCTTAGTATATTTAAAATATACTTTTTATTGCATGCAACCCCAAAGTTCATAAGTTTGAAATTAATATATGGCATAGCTAGGCAGCCTAATATTTAAGATTGTTGACGTGCATATTGAGGACTACGGAGACAAAGATGCGTTATTCGTGGATTCATCGGATACTATCCAACAACACTCTCCAACTTAATTGACGTGAAGTGGCTTAGTAACATTAAGATTATATTCTCGAATTATTAGTTCTCATATTTTATTGATTACACACTTAATTCGATAGTATTTGGAAGAAAAAATCAATGTTCGAACTAAGATTGTGATTTTGGTCTTTAAAGGTCAATTGTATGTTGCTACATCTAGAGTTAGAAATCTCAAAGGTCTACAAATTTTGATCCGTGGTGACTCTAAAATTGTAATTCAATTACTATTGTAGTTTACTAAGTTCTTAAAAAGTTGTAATATTAAATACTATGTACTAATTTTTTAATATAGTTTAAGATTTTTAGTAATCACCCACCTTAAATATTATTTTAATTGTAAATATATTTATGCTCATAATTTTATCATAGGAATTCACACATAATAATTATTAAATAACAAAAATTTTATATATGAATAAACCTCATATAGAGTATATTTTTATAACATATTTTCCGTGCATCGCACGGGACAAATACTAGTAGTAATAATAATAATAATAATAATAATAATAATAATAATAATAATAATAATAATAATAATAATAATAATAATAATAATAATAATTGCGATTAAAGTTGCGGATAAAGGAGAAGAGAAAATGATTTTAATTGGGAAAGGGTAAATTATGTCATTTCTTCAAAATAATAAGGATAAAGATGGAAAAAAAGTTAGGAAGCTAGAAGCTTGTTTTGAAACGCTACCTTAGGTAGCGTTCCAAAATAAGCTATTATTTTAAGCTAGGAGCTTATTTTGGGAGTATTACCAAACGGAACTTATAGCTTATTAGTAGCTTAAAATAAACTATAAGCTCCTAAATAAGCTCTGTCAAATAGAGCCTAAGTCTCAATCAAAGTTATATCCCTCATTTATGATCATGTTTTTAATGCTAATCATTTTGTACATTGTACTATTAGAGTTGTACTATATAATTTTTTGAACAAAAATATCTCTGCCGTTATAATTTCTGTTATCTTTTCCATTATTGTTATCATAAACATATATCCACCAAATAATTTCTTATATTCTTTAATGATAATAATATTTGTAGACATTATATATTGAATTATTATAATAAATAAATTTAATTTCATATAGATTTTAATTAGTAGAGATTTGTTAGTTATTTTAAAAAATATAAATATTGGGCATACACGTAAGTGGCACTCTGATGTCGATGATCTTACCTTACACAATAAATAACGGTTATAGATTTTTGCATTGACTCCATTGAACCTCTTAATAGGAACAAAAGCTTTTCCAGATAATAAGTCTTCAAGTCCATTGTTAATAAGACAAACAGAGTCCAAAATATATGCCGGATTATTCACAAAAGTCAACTGCACAATAGAATCCATGCTCCATTAGAACAACAAACGTAAAATATATAGAAAAATTTAATATCCATCCATTGAAAAACTGCCGAAAATATTTGTTTAAGTACTACTATCTATGTTACAATGTAGTATATGTTTATAACTATTCAACAAAACTTATTTGGGGATCAAACCCGTGACCTCCCATTTAGAAGAGTCAATTTCTGTCACTAGACTGCAATGTCATTGGCATTTAATTAAGTAATTAATTGGACATGTTTCACTTTATATTTTGAGAATTTGATATCTTTGCTATATATATATATATATATATATATATATATATATATATATATATATATATATATATATGGGCTTCTCGTGCGGTTGTGCGGGTGGACGACGCAATTTAAGTACACAACACAAGCACATTAAGCACACAAACAAAACATTTTAAGAACACAAACTCACGCACTTTAAGCACAAACCTCACGCACCATAAGCACAAGACTCACGCAGCTTAAGCACAAGATTCACGCACCTTAAGTAGAAAATTCACACACCTTAAACACAAAACTCATGCACATTAAGTTTCAACAACTACTCACATTCAGTACACACCCACGTACCTTAAGCACAAAACTCACGCTCCTTGAGCACAAGACTCACGCACCTTAAGTACAAAACTCACACACATTACTTACCGCACAACCGCACAGGAGACACTTAACCGAACTAGAACTTAATTCTATATATATAGACACACACATAAATCAATTGAAAACTTGTCTTATCATAAAGTAATCTTGAATGAATTGGTTCTTCCATTTGGGTTGATTAACAGCAAACTACTAATAATAATAATAATAATAATAATAATAATAATAATAATAATAATAATAATAAAAATAATAAAAATAATAATAATAATAATAATAATAATAATAATAATAATAATAATAATAATAATAATAATAATAATAATAAGTTAGAGCAAAAAGAAAAAATCATGGTGATATTCGTAATTAATATAAAATTTTGTTATACACTGGGACAACTGGACAAGTTTGAGAGTGCCTTTGATAATAAATAAAAATGCACTCAAGATCTAAAACTAAGTGTATTTAACTTGTTACATGTAAAGTGCATAGATGATTTGGTAGATTGTGAGAGCACTATTAGTTATCAACCTATTCACTCTAAACTATTATAGAAGACACATTCAAAATTTGTAAAAGTTATAAAAATACTATTTGACACCCTATGTATATTTCCGTTCACACACACACACACACGCACACACACACACACACACACACACACACACACACACACACACACACACACACACACACACATATATATATATATATATATATATATATATATATATATATATATATATATATATATATATATATATTACACACGTGATATAGAAAATGTAATTAAAATGATTGCTGACCATTACGAATCGCAGGATATCCAACTGACATTTGGTAAAGAAAGGCTTTTTGTCGGGATTCGTTATACAATCGTCGTATGACTGCTCGTGAATGTAATTAAGCCATTAGAATGAGATTAAGTAATAAACTTCACATTAAATTAACACATGAAACTAATATGGTGAAGAATAATTACCTTACGAGCAAACTCTTCTGAAATAAGACCATATCCGAGAGCAAATTGGTAAGTATAATCGTGCTCAGAAAAATGTGTCACCCCATTACCGACAAGGTAACCCTAATGCAACGGAACTTGCAAGACGTGTTAACATATATGTGTATAATATATATATATATATATATATATATATATAGTGTTGGGTTAGGGGAGGGGGGGGGGGGGGGGGGTACAAATGAAATAGCTAGATTTGTACTTCAAATTTTTACCGACCTTAAAATTAATGGCAGGCTTTAACCTTGCATCATTACCTACACATTAACAAATAAAATTTCAATTTTTAGTAATAGTTCATTATATTAAACATTTTTGTAATGAGTGGCGCATGCCATGTGGATTTCAAACCCAAAAAACGTTTTGCTAGCTTGTTTTTTGGTCTAACCAAGTTTACCTAACCAGGGTAATATATAATTTTTTTTTTATGTCGGGTGAAATAACAAAAGTGACAAAACACTCCTTCATGGATGCTCAAACAAAAGATCTCTAGTTAAAATAGAAATTCACGTCATCTCATCCACACTTTTTGAGTCTTGATAATCAATTAATTTATCTTTATTTTTAATATATGGATCGCAACAGCTTTAAGAATTATACGAGTATGTATTGCTTAATGAAGTCTTTACCATTTGATATTGCTTGAGCAAGCATTGGAATAAGGGTACCAGAATATGAGTCCCCGCCGACATATAATGAATTGGATTGATATTCAGGATAATCTATTAACCACTATAAAAACAATTTAGTATTAGTAAAATAATACAATTTTCACAAAATGTGTGCACATGTCGTATCACAATGAGAATATAACTATATAAGTGCTTACCTTGCGAATAAATTCAGCTCCATGATAACTTGCTTCTAAGGTATTTGAAGTATAATTTTTTGCACTCTTAGCATACGAAAATCCAGTTCCCACGGGTAAGTCTAGGTACACAAAACTTGCAACCTACTTATTTAATGCACTTCAAATATTAGCCAACTAAAATTGAGTTTTAACTTTTATTACTAGTTGTTTTATAAAATCACAAAGTACCTTCGTCCATGAGTAAGGATTCAAAGAAAATGTAGGCGGGACTGAAATATTCTTCGGTAAATCCATTATCAATGGTCCTGCACATACATTTAATTTAGCGTACAAAGTTTTTTCCTTGATACGATATTTGTTCTTTATTTGGATTACTATATGATCGTTTTAAATGGGTCGGCCCCATCATAAAACCGTGTTGTTAATAGATAATGGGTATGAAAGATATATCGGATTGATAGTGCCCAATACGCTTAAAATAATATAAACGTGTTGCAATTGTACTAAATAATCAAAATGGAAAAATTTGGTTTAAGGGACTCAAGTACCAAGCCCAACTACAAGGATGGACTACTACTGTTAACTAACAGACTGCAAAAAACAACTGACATACTGCGTAGTTGATGGTGGTCTGAAACGAACGCCACACCCGCCTTTTATACTACTCTTAGGACCACATGTTGTAGACAAGTGTGTGAACCACAATGCTCGCCCTCCCACGACCAACCATACGTGCATCCCACCAGGTATCATGCTTTCCCACAAAACATCTCCTTGCACACCATATTGCATAGCACATTTGGGGTCCCACCAACTACCCAAAGACCTAGCACATACCCCCACGTAGCCACCTCACCACCTCACCACCCGACAAGTAGTTCGCCCAAGCAATCGGCCTTGGACATGTACCCCTGCCACCTCACTACAAGGCTAGCGATTGATCTGCCATCTCTGGCGAGCTGTTCGCTGGGCAAACCGGTGGTCCGCCTCAACTGGCCGAACTAAGTCGATGCCCTCTGGCTGTCGATGGGAGTTAATACCCAAAATGGTCCCTCGACTATGTCATAATTACCAATTTGGTCTTCAACTACCATTCTTACCCAATTAAGTCCTCAACTATGTAACTTTTACTCAATTAAGTCCTCAACTATACAATTCTTACCCAATTTAGTCCTCAACTATACAATTCTTACCCAATTTAGTCATCTGTATTAATTTGACTGTTTGTTGACTGGTAAAAGTCGGGATAAAATTATAATTTTACAAGATTTCTCCTTCCTCTCCATTTAGCAGCGCCAAACCATGCAGCAATACACTCCGATCAGATTTCGATCGTCAAAAAATCGTTGGAAATCAAATTCATGGGCTATCTGATGCATAACCACTACTTCGATACTGACAGGTTTAGAACCCAACCGGAGCTTATTGCTACATGGTTTGACGCTGCTAAATGAGGAGGAAGGAGAAAATTTGTAAAATTACAACTTTATTTCCACTTTTGACAGTCAACAAACAGTCAAATTGACAAAGGACTAAATTGGATAAAAATTGTATAGTTGAGGACTTAATTGGGTAAGAATGATAGTCGAGGACCAAATTGGTAATTACGACATGGTCGAGGGACTATTTTGGGTATTAACTCCTGTCGATGGAGAGCTAAGATGACCTGGCGAGCTCAGGGACAGAAAGGCCTAAGGGTAGTGGACTTGGCAGCGGTCTGTTCAATCAATACGAGGTCGGTTACTCACCACACGAGCCTATATTTGACACCGAGGTCGTCGGCTAGTGCCTCACGGCCCAAGCAAACCGTTCCACTCCACCACTTGTTTTTCCGGATTGTGCTCCACAATGGGCAAATTATTGTATGGACCATGGTCCATACAATGTTATGTGAACCATAACAAAAAGTACATTTTTAATATACTAAATGTACATTATTTTTGTACTAAATGTACATTATACAATATAATGTACACTCAGAACAAAAATAATATACATCTCCCGAATACAATGTACATTATTTTTATATTGAATGTATATTATTTTTGTACTGAATATACATTATTTTACAATAGACAAAATATGGTTCACACAACTTGTGTGGACCATTGTCCATACAATAATGATTGCCACAATGTGTTGCCAAACGCGTCCGTAGAGCCTTTCCAATACTTTGCACAACGACTCCATGTACCTTACGCCCGCAAATTATGCCATGGAATCGTGTTCACCGAGAATGGTGAACACAAGGCAAAACGATGTCGTTTTTAGGCAACAAAAAAAATATTTCGCGGATGTGGAGTTAACGGCGCGCGTTTGATCAAATTATGAATTTTCTGTTATGAGATTATGAATTTTATGAAAATTCATAATCTCATAACAGAAAATTCATAATCGCATAACAAAAAATTCATAATCTCACAACTGAAAATTCATAATCTCATAACAGAAAATTCATAATCTTATAACAGAAAATTCATAATCTCATGGTTCCAAAATGTGTAGGCATGGTTCCAAAGTGAATGTGCAGGCATGGATTCATAATTTATGAATGTCCGTGATTTCGGACGGGAATATGTAGGCATGGTTCCAAAGTGAATGTGCAGACATGAATTCATAATTTATGAATGTCCGAAATTATGAATGTAATGAAAATTCATAATCTCATAACAGAAAATTCATAATCGCATAACAGAAAATTCATAATCTCACAACTGAAAATTCATAATCTCATAACAGAAAATTCATAATCTTATAACAGAAAATTCATAATCTCATGGTTCCAAAGTGAATGTGTAGGCATGGTTCCAAAGTGAATGTGCAGGCATGGATTCATAATTTATGAATGTCCGTGATTTCGGACGGGAATGTGTAGGCATGGTTCCAAAGTGAATGTGCAGGCATGAATTCATAATTTATGAATGTCCGAAATCTTTGTTCACCTCAAATTAAAGTGTAACCGCAAAATGTGAAAATAAAGAAGAAAATTCACGCAATTAATTAAGAAAAAAAAAAAAACAGTGTACTAACACCGTTGGAACCGTGTTCACCATGAATGGTGAACACGGTTCTATGGCATAACGTCCCCCTTACGCCTTACCACACTTTACTCGTCAAACTTTATTCATCAACCTAATTTAGGCCCAAAAAATAATGGTATTCGGATTGGACTTCCATTTAGAAGGTTGTGAGTTCAAGCTTCAGTGGAGGCGTTATTGGTTCTTTGTGTTTCAGTAGGTTGAGAAAGTATATGAACAGATACTACAATGTAATAGGGCCAGTAACATTTTAAAAAAAAAAAAAAAGCCCAAAAAATAATGTCATTGGACTCCGACTATTTCCAGATCTAATGCTTGAATCTCTCATCCCCAACCAAAGTGACATTGGAGCCAGGTCACATCGCCATCACTATCAATTATTCCGTTCATCCCAACGTATAGGCATTATTTATGTACTGATACTTGAGTCAAGTTCTTTTACAATTTTTTTTCCATAATAATTTTATAAGAGTGAATTCCATTTTTGGTTCTACTGTTATAAGGGTGTTTTCAATTTTAGTTCACCTTAATTTTTTTTGCCACTTTACAACTACTGTTATTGAATGTGTTCCACTTTTAGTCCACCGTTAATATTTTCATCAAGAGGCCATATAATCCAAGAGTATTTTGGTCTTTTTTATGTTTATCTCTTCTCTTTTAATCCAGACGCTTCGTCCTCCTCCCCCGATATTCGAATATGGCTCTTCGAACAACGAGAATGGGAAGGCAAAGCTACATCATTTCGTTCGTTCCAACATGGGCCGGCGAGGTTTCTTATGTTTTAGGTTTAATGTTCTAATTTCTTTAGTCAAACATAGTTTTGGACGAGAAGAAAGGTCAAAATACCCCTAAATTACACGGCCTCTTGATAGAAATACTAACGGTGGGACTAAAAGTGGAACACATTCAATAATAGTGGTTATAAAGTGACAAAAAAATTAAAGTGGACTAAAATTGGAAATGCCCCTATAACAGTAGGACCAAAAATGAAATTCACTCATTTTATAATATTCAATTTAATATTAGTGAATAAATGTAAAAAAGATATTTAATTTAAAAAATAATACATGTGGCGTTCATAAAAGAAAAAAAAAAGTGTATTAACTATTAAGGATATGACTTCAATCTAACATGAATAACATATAACTTACAAGTAAAAAAGGAGTTGATTAAATAATTTTTTAGAAGCTCATAAAGGGTTATAATAAAACTTTTTATAATGCCAAAGTGGAAGTGAATGTTTTTAAATAGTTTGGGGCTTATTTAGTCCATTTATATATTCATTTTGAGTTTCAAATTGAATAATACTTAATATCCAAACTAAATAAATATCACTTACCCAAGATAATATTCTAAATAATATATATTAAAAACTCACCGATTTCTTGAGTCATTGCAAAAAAAGAAGAGCAACCAGGGCCACCAGAGACCCAAACCACGATTGGATCATCACTAGGATTTGATTCTGACTTTACAAAGTAGTAAAAAAGTTGCACATCTTCAGATTCTCCAACACCAATATATCTAATCAAGCACAGCAAAGCACATTAGACTCGAAGTAATTATAAATGTTTGGAAAAAATATGATGAAGTCTATTTGGTAAAATCAAATTAAAGTTGTACCCGGTTTCAAGTTCAAATGGAAGAGGCCGTTCGTGTATAACCCTTGGGAGATACACCACTTTAGTGCCTGCTGCTGCCATTGCCACCAAAACCTGTGAAGAACAAAACCATAAAACGACGATGCTTCCTAGAAGCGAAGGAAGAGACCTGCAGCATCTTCGTCGCAACAGATTTGACGAAAACATTTTCGTTATATTTAATTATCAGAATAAAGAAAAAGGTGCGTTTTTGCTCGCTGCTAGGTTGCTGCTCACCGTAGCATTTTATATAGACAAACAAAAAATATAGGTTCGCACCTAATTACTATATATTTATTTATTAGTACGAAATAGTTTGCTTCTTCTGCTGGAATTAAAGGTTATGTGAAAACAATATTAAAAAGGGACAAAGGGTAGATCATCAGAAAGAGAACGATATACATGCATCTGTTAGGTTAGTTGCAAGTTGGAGTAAATGGTCACCACTGAAAGACGTAATCTACACATATATATAAGAACATGTTAAATTGTGAACTAAACTTTCTCGTGACGAACTAATATCATTTAAGATGATCAAGAGCTGAAAAATAATGAAGAAATATGGTGACATTTCTGTAATACGATTGTACTTTTTCAGAAAAAAAAATGCCAATCAATTTATTAACCGAAAAACCAATATGTACAAAGTCAATGGAAGTAGGGCTCTAGCCCAATATCAACAAGTGTCTAAGTAAAAAAAACATATTTTCACCAACACATAAACAAATTAAGCTTGAACTCCTAAGCTTAAAGTAAATTAAACATAGTCTAACAAGAAAAGGATCTTGCCCAAGCCGCAACCACCAAACAGCAAGCAACATAAGCAGAAGGCCACACACACTATCAAACGAGATAAGCCATCCAAAAATGCCCACGGTAGAGATATCAAAACGGGACAGATCAACTCATATGGGATAGCCCATCACGAGCCCAAATTGAAAGTGGGTTGGACTGGATTAGGCCAGCCGACCCATATGGGCTAGCCCGTCACAGGCCAAGGTTAGGATTTTTTGTAACCCAACTCATCAAAAAGTGGGTTGGTAGGGACCACTTGTTGATAATTAATTAGAGTTAATACCGTCCCCCGAGATTGGTGATTTTGCCACATATAGTCCTAAACTTTCAATTTAACTACCCGCGATCCTCCGACTTTCAAAATCTTACATTCTACGGTCCTGCCGTTAGTTTCTTCCGTTTGAGCCGTGTAAATGGAGCGTTATGCTGTGTCACCGTATGCACCATGCAAGATGCACACAGAATTGGATCCATAATTTCTATACTATAGATCCATAATTTCAATACTATAGATTCATAATTTTTATACTATAGATTCATAATTTCTATAGTGTAGATTCATAATTTCTAAACTGTAGATTCATAATTTCTATACTATAGATTCATAATTTCTATGTTATACATTAATATAGATTCCTAATCTCTAAACTGTATAGTTATCAAATTATGAACATATAGTTCAATGATTTGTGAATACAGAGTTCAACAATTGGGAATATGAACATTGAAACTTATGAACATAGAGTTTTGTAATTGTGAATATAGAGTTCAATAATTATGAATCTATAGTATAGAAATTATGGATCTAGAGTATAGAAATTATGGATCCAATTCCGTGTGCACCATGCATAGTGCACACGGATGCAAAAACGGCATCGTTTTACTTAAATAAAAAAAATCATTTTCGATTGCCGTTAGTTACGTAAATATATGTTCATAATTGAATAATTTCACATTCTGGATTTATAGTTATGAATTTATGGATGCGTAGTTATGCAATTCTGGATTTATAGTTATAAAGTTATGGAAGTGTAATTATGTATGCAATTCTGAATGTATAGTTATGAAGTTATAGTTTTACATTATGAATGTATAGTTATGAAGTTATGGATGTGTAGTTATGCAATTCTGAATGTATAGTTATGAAGTTATGGATGTGTAGTTATGCATGTAATTCTGAATGTATAATTATGAAGTTATGGATGTGTAGTTATGCCATTCTGGATTTATAGTTATGAAGTTATGGATGTGTAGTTATGAAATTCTGAATGTATAGTTATGAAGTTATGGATGTGTAGTTATGCAATTCTAGATTTATAGTTATGAAGTTATGGATGTGTACTTATGCAATTTTAGATGTATAGTTATGAAGTTATGGATGTGTAGTTATGCAATTCTGAAGTTATAGTTATGAAGTTATGGATGTGTAGTTATGCAATTCTGAATTTATAGTTATGAAGTTATGGATGTGTATCTAGATTTATAGTTATGAAGTTATGGATGTTTAGTTATGCAATTCTGAATGAGTTAATACCCAAAATCGTCCTCGACTATAGTGGTTTTTCTCAATTTCGTCCTAAACGACTTTGGTGACCTAATATCGTCCCAAACTTTTGTGTTTCGCTCAATTTAGTCCTAAACGACTTTAGGTTTTATGAGAAAATCACCATTTGTCTCTCAATTGTTTCCAACTATCAATGTAGTCCATAGTTCTTAATTGCAATTAATTTGATCATCGAATTGTTTAATAATTTTTTCAATTAAACCTTTAAGAGGGACCAAAATGGTGATTTCCTTATTTTTAAAATTTCGTCAACTTGATCATCAAAAGATTTAATTGACAAATTTTAAACAATTTGATGATCAATTTAAAATTCACATAAAAATCTTTAAAACTTTATGAAACTCATGATTAAATACACCCCTAGTTGAAATTGAAAACTAAAAACAATACTAACAGTTAAAAAATAATTGAGAAATTAAAATAGAGATATATCCTATATATAGAGAGAGAAGTTGTATACATTTGGTAAGCACGTGCTACTTTTTAAATTATTGATTTATTGAATTGGTTATATTAGGTTGACCACTTTCCATTGAAAGTATACTGACTCATTTCTGTTTCTTGCATGCTTAAAATTTGAAAACGTTGAAATTAAACCGCTTTTGTTTTCATATACTTGTTTTATTTTAGTGTCTACTATTCATTATTTTTTTTTGAGTTAATTCCAGCAATGGTCCTCCGACTATGTTGATTTTTCACAATTGGTCCTCGACTTTTAATTTAGACAATTTAAACACTTGACTTTCGAAACCTTTCCAATGTTGGTCCTTCTGTCAAATGAAAGTTAAGTAGACGTTAGTTGAGGGATAACATAGTCATTCCACACGACTATAATCCGATCGTCTTCCTCCCTTCGCGAAACCGGCGGCGTGGAAACGGAGCTCAAGCTCCCTCTTAGCGATGTCAATGTCTGCAAACCATGGAGGAGAACGACGATGTCAGCCGACTACGGATTAACAGAAAAATGGGTATTTTGATTTTAATCGCGACGTATATGGAGGAGAAGGATGTATTATACGCAAAGCATATTAAAAGACAATTTTAACCTTCATTTTAACGGATACTTAACAAGGTTTGGACGGAAGGACCAATATTGGAAACATTTTGATAGTCAGGTGTCTAAATTGTCCAAATTAAAAGTCAAGGACCAATTATGGAAAATCACGATAGTCAGCGGACCAATGCTGGAATTAACTCTTTATTTTTTTCTTTTGTGTAGAAGACAAATAAGCTCCTAAAATATTTAAGACAAGTTAATTGCATTTTAGAACTACATAAACTTTTAAAGTGACTTTCATGTAAGACTGTCTCACATATCTTACCCTGTGTGACAAGTGGGATTAATATGAAAATGTAATACTTAAACTTAAAAGTTTTGTACTAGTAAGGAATAAAGTGTTTGTTACTTATAAGTAACAAACACTTTATTTATAATTAGTACTGCATTTTTCAATATAAGTATTCAAATTTCATTTTGATCCGATCCGTTTCACGGATCCGTTAGACGGTCTCACACAAGTTTTTGCTAAACTTCTATATTAGCCCTTGAGCATTTAAAAAAAAAACTATCATTAGAACATTTTTACCTGTAAATTAGCTACTATTGCAAGTTATGTTGATGTGGCTTCGATGTGTAATTTTCTTTGTATATATAGATGCCACATTGAAGTCATCTCGACATAACTTCTAATGTAATTTTCTTTAATTTTAGGGAAAAGGGTCAAATAGACCCTTAAACTATAGGCAAAAGAGCAATTAGGCCCTTCAACTTTGAAAAGGTGCAATTAGGCCCTTCAACTTGTTATTTTGAGTCAAATAAACCCCATAGCAGGTTATTCACCTAGAATAATCGGTCAAAAAATTCCGGCGATATTTCCGACCATATTTCCGGCGACAACAAATTTATAAAAAAAAAAAAAAAACTTGCCGGAGAAGACAACTGTTCGGTTGTCTTCTCCGGTGGAGAAGGCGACCATATCAAGTCGCCTTCTCCATTGGAGAGGACGACCAGTCCGGTCGTCCTCTCCAATGGAGAAGGCGACCAGATCTGGCCGCCCTCTCCAGTGGAGAAGGAGACCAGTCCCAATGGTTAGCAAGCACCAATACACTGGTGTAACAAAAAGCTCGTCAAAAGAAACCAGTGAGTTCGTCAAGCGAAATGACAAACCTGAGTCATCAAACTCAAGAAACGAAAGAAGAAGAAAAGCCATGGTCATGAACGAAACGACTGAAAACATAGAGACCGAGAGCAGTTCCTCAAGCTCAAGTTCAGATAATGATAGCATTGAAGAAGAAAAGGGATTGCTGTGTCTGTTCGGTGAGGAAGAAGAAACAAATGAAACATGCCTCATGGCTCAAGATGATGAGGTAGACTCTCAATCCTCTTCTTTCCTTTCAATAGAAACTAGCTCAACTAGTGACCAAAATTCCAATGAATCAGTGTAACACCCCGTGTTACGGCCCCTAAAACCATTTAATCAATTAATCAGTAACCCAAGAGAAAGAATAAATTATAATTAATTAGGGAAAAAGGCCCACCATAGTCCATGGGCCCTCATGTATAAACCCAACCCCTAAACCCAATCCTTAGTTCCAAAAGGAATAGAATTAGCGAGCCTATAATATTAGTTCCTAATTAGGACTCCTAAATATATATATAGGGGACTTAAGAGGCACCTAGAACTCCCCACATGATTAACGCCCACCACCCCAAAAAGAGCTCCAAGAATTCCCTTAGGAGAAATCAAGAAAGCAAGGAAGCTTAAAGAAAGATCCTTCATAGCCAAGGAATTAATTAAGGCTAAGAGGTAACCCATGTCTCAACAAAACCTATTTTCATAGCTATGATTTCCCCTTAGGGTTTC